CACTGAAAAGTTTAGCTGAGGTAAATGTGTTGCAGCTACTGCTTTTTCTAAAAGGAGGCGTGAGCCTAGGCCCTTGCAGAACTAAACTCTGACTACGCTGTTCTTTCCTCTTTTCTCATCTCAGTCTTCTACATCAGCTGTCTATCTGATTACCATCCTGGAAGCAGCTGACAAGAAGACACTGCAAAGTCTGAAGAGCCCCCTGTATTTTGTCTGCCTTCAGCTTGAAACTGTGGGTGTGGCTTCTAACTTAGATAAAAAGAGAGCTCACAGCAGTGACTTTTTCTTAATAGGGGCTAGAGAACCTGGTTTTTATTTTTCCTTACTTAGTTTCATTCACTAATCTACTTTCTCAAACATATCTTTCTTTTAGAGACCTATACCTGTGCTGTATTTGTGGTCATGAAATTTCTGCTCAGGGTTTTCACTTTGCATCAGTTGCTTGCCTGATGGCAGTGCCAGTAGCATGATTTTATACAGATGTTATTAATCCATAAGGTTCGGAATTATTTCATCATCTATCAAAACTGCCAAATATTAATTTGCAATCAGTTTGTAGCAGATCTATAGGGGGAGATTTTTCTTTTGTTGTTGTTTTTTCAAGCAAGAATATTTCCTTATTTTGTGTCACCCAGGTTTCTGGTTTATTTAGGTAACATTTTATATACTCTATATACATTATGGAGTTGTAGTTGAGAAAAATGACAGACTGATTTTTTTTTGATAAACTATTTGTAACGGCGATACGGCAAGAGAACTTCTAGAAGGTCAGGAGCTCTGCATGTTATGGATCCCTGAATACTTATTTACCAGTTATAGGAAGAACAGTGGTGTATTTTGAGAGATTGATTTTTTTAAAAAGTTTTGCCCCTCTCCTTAATTCCCCAACAAATTCACTGGCCAGTAGGTCTGTGGGCTCAGTTGAAGTATGTGGTGTACAGGTAGCAAGTGTACAGCTTGGCCTTTAAGGCTGCTGTGTTTCATGTGTAGTTCCCACTCTGTTTCTGCCAGAGGAAATTCCATCTCTTGCCTGCCTTCATGTGGTGCTGATAAAGTCCTTCCTGTGCACTAGAATTCCTGTTTTCCTTTATCAGCAACAGGGTATTGGGAATGATCAGGAAAGGGGAGGAGGAACCAGAGAAGAATATACTCAGCAAAGTAGCCTGAGCTATGTAACTTCGCCTTTGCATGTCCTTTGACACAAGTAGCTCTTCCAGAAAGATGACTGCTCAGTCATTTAAAGCTTCCCTGGAACTCAAGTGAAAGTCTTATCTTGCTTACTAGATGACAAGTGGCTCATATTTATTTCATTTAAAAAATTATCATTTCTGCAAATTACTCAGACCATTAATAATGTGTTAGGTACTGGTGCGGTGATTCACATCATTGCATCTGTTGGTTATATAATCTGTCACTCGGTCACAGTTTTGAGAGTTTACAGGTTATTTTAGGGCAGTGCATTGGAAAGATGTGAAGGGCTGTTCTGTAAAGTCTTGAGCCTGTGATTTTTTAATGGAGTCATTGAGTTTTGTAGATGTTAATGGTCTAAAGCATTTATTACCCCAAAGCATTGGGATCTATTCTTGGATGAGTGTTCCCTCATTAGGATAACAGAAGTAAAAAGAGACTTTAATTTTTAGGAAATTTTTTTCTTACTTTAATAATTTTATCATGATGTGAATTTCCAGTTAATTTTAGCAAATGTGTACATGCTGCACTCATCCATCAGATTCTAGAGCATCTTTCCTCCTCCTGTGCACTCCTTAAAGGACGACACACCGTGACACAGCATGTATGTATGCCTAGTTCTGGAGATACTAATACATACACATGTTTTTTGTCTCCCTTTGCACGTCTCTGGGTTCCTCATTTATGGCTGAAATGGTAACTGGACAAATTCCTTGGCCTCCTGACATCAGAACCCCTCATGGCGAGACCATGATGATGCGCCCTCAACCCACTCAGCAGGCACACCAGGACCCTCCAGCGGGGGCCATGCGTCCCAGAGTGGAGACAACAGCAGTGAGCAAGGTAAAGGCCGAGACTCGTCCTTGTGCAAAGTAGGCATGAGCACAATGACTCGAGTCTTTTGTGATACCAGTGCATCTGCCTCCTTGTAGACCAGAGAGTGGCAGGTTAAAGAGTATAATCAGCTACTATTTAGGAAGACTGTCTTTTCTTCTTCACTTATTTTGTTTATAAAAAAGAAAGTCAGCATTAGCTGTCTACTCTTTAAGTAGGCATTGCAATAACAATTGATTAGTTCTGCCAATTTTCTCTGAAACAAATTTGGTTATCTACACTTCACTCTGTTGAAAATAAATGGAACAACAGACCTACTTTACTGCTGTAATTCACTGGTTTTAATTATACTATAAACAGGATATTTTGCTTATAATATCAACTCTAAGAATTCTCTTTAATCAAATACTTAACACCTCCAATGCACATCAGACCCAAAAATCTGTTCTTACTAGCTCCAGAAATACTGGAGGAATTTTATATGGAATCTTATCTTGGGAAAGTGGATTTTGAAATTCTTAGGAGAATATTTGTTCCTATTTCCATTTAGCTGCCACGGTGACTTTTGTCACAATTCCTAAGAATTAGAATCATCACAGGCTGAGGGGGACATCAGCTGTGGATGTCAGGGAAACCTTGTGCCACTTAAAATAAATTTTACCATTTTAAACTCACCTCTTGCACAGAGAGCAATTATATATTGGTAGGGATAACTCTTCGATGACTAACATGATATTTTAAAGGGAGACACATTATTGAATGAGTATATAGGAAAGCAAATGTGAAAAGTGTATAGATTTTACTTTTTAATATTTTACATTAGATGGTGTCTGATCTCCTAGGTCTATTTCATCTCTATTATGACTGTGTTTATAGCCACAATATTTAAGCATTAGACAGCCTTCCAAGTACAGGACAGTAACAACTTGAGCTGTAGTTATATACGCCATTTAAAAGGGGATGGTTGATGTAGGGTGAATGTCTTCCCTCCTCCAAGTTTCTGGCCAGAGGTTTAGACTCCTGGAGTTCTAGAAAAATCTAGGAAAATAGAGTATTTATAGAATGTAGTTCACATGCAAATGAGACCAAATCAGAATCCACCTTTCAGCAAGTGGAGCTGGCACAGAGGTGAATCCTGTCAGATGGCAAACTGGGAGAACTTATTATGAGTTGTATCCTTTAGGTTTTATATACTACTTTTATTATACCAGTTAGCCTGTATATAAAATAGAGACTAAATTAGAAGGAATTTCAGAGGTAGCTTATGCATAGATTTCAATTTGTAGTGCAGAGAGTTGACGGTAGTTCCATATCGCAGTGGGCTTCTCAGTGGGGTCAGATCCAGAAACCTTTCAATCCCTCCCTCCTCCCACTGCCCCAAATTGCAGCAGCAGAAAGTGAGAGCATATCTGTTATAAAAACAAAACACCCTAAACACTGCATAAAAGAGGGGGAAAGGAGATGCCACCGACTGAATGGTCTAATGAGGCTATCTTCCAGGGACTTCTTGTGTATGAGGCTTACTTTGACCTTTCACTTTGCTCAGGAGCTGGGCGCTTCATTTTTCACATTCTTGCAATTACGTTAATGCTTCAAGCATTTCTGACTCCAAGTCAGCTAGCAACACCAGGCATAACTCAACACTGTGAGTTTTTCTCCTCTCTGTAGATTCATTAACAGGTCACCAAGGTCCCAACTGAATTTCAAACTGGTTCTGTTGGGTTAGTTGAGTTATGGGATAGTAGGCAAAGTAGGAAGAGCCAAGGAGAAGAGAGGTGGAGGAGAGAAGACCTTAGTATTTGGAATAGTGAGTAGTTACGGCAACAGGCGGAGCGTGGAGATTTTTCATTTTAGTTACCTAGTTTTGTTTTGTTTTGTTTTGGTTTTGGTCAGGAAAGAGAGGAGCTCTGAGACTCATGCACTGGGTAGAAGTGATGTACACAAACCTCTATGCTGTGGGTAGCTGCACCCACTTATACCATATTGAAGGGTTTGATCCCTGGAGGATTTTGTTCCTCTAATCATATCTCCATAGGATTAAAAGAGTGGACACGGTAGCTTATGTGTATGAACACTAGGAAGTCATTCATTTTACCATGTTAAAGTTAGAGAGAGAGACAAAGGTTAGAATTCATATAAAGTGGAGATTGTTTAGGCATAGAGAATTTCCTACCTGGCTTAAGCTGTCTGTGGCTCAAACTCATGTTTAGGGGTATTCTGGTTTTTTAACAGCAGACTAAACTTTGAAGGGCAGACTTGCTTGTATTTTATCGCACTCGTGCTCATATTAGTCTTTTAAACATGTTTTCAAGATATTTTGATATTTTGTTCCACTAAATTGTCCAGAGTAGCTTTCGGTGAGAAAGATTAATTATCTACTTTAGGCAGAGTCAACAGAGATATTGACTGAAGTTACGTGTGCTTATCATAAGTTAAATCTCAGGATTGGTGTAGAAGGAAAAACTTGGGAGGGAAATTTATGTTCTTTGTATTAAATATATTATAATGTTTTATTGGAAACCAAGTTTTCAGTTTAGGAAAGATTTTTCTTGCTTATTCAGAATTTATTAGCACAACAGGCATATGGAAAACTGTAAAATGATTCGGTTTCACAACAAATTATGAAAAACAGAAAAAATAGGGATGAATTGTACTACATACAATATTTTCATACACATTTTAAATTAAACTTTAATAGCCATATGCTATAAAAATACATGCATTTATGTTGCTTTATAATTTTTGTGAATATTTTTGCAATGATTCATGCATATCTTTACCTTGGAACCTAAAAATATCTCATTTTATGACGTAATAGTAAAAGAGCTACAGTTACACAGGTGAAAGGTCATCTTTTCCTCAGTGTTTGTGCAAGAAACTGAAAGAAAATAATTTTTTGAAATATTGTAAGAAATAAACGGTAAAATACAAAACCTGACTTTATTGTATCTTTCCAACAGCACATGCCTAGCAGTAAACTATATAAATATGAACCAGACTTTTCATTCACTCTGATTTCTCTTGCTAAAAGCAGCCAAAGAGAGGGCGTTTGTCTTGTTAGTCACATTAGAATGAGGAAGGAAATCTGGTTTTTCAAGGATAGAATCAGGGTGCAGGCTCAGAGCTCTGGGGAAGTAACTGGCCTTCTTTGTGTCTGGCTTCCCATCAGTAAAATGGGGCTTGATAATAAGGCGTGGGGGTCCCTAATTCTGTACCTGCTGAGTCAAAAGCTGCTTTGTATTTCATTGTGTATTTTGCCAGAGCAGACTTGGGAGCAGTCTCCTTGTTTCTAGAGCATTTTGAGAGCCTTAGATGAAAGGCACAATATATGTACAAAGTATTATTATTATTGATGGGTTTGTGTAACTCCCATTAACGCTGATGGGAGTTCCGCATGTGAATTGGCAAGAGAATAGACCCCTCAGTGTTTAGAGCACATGAAATTTACATTTTTTCCACTGCTGTAATTGAGATGTTGACAAATTGGAGAATATTGATGAGCCTTTGTTTTAAGTATTTTGTGCCAAGTTTGTTTTATTTTTCCTGATTTGAACAATGGTATGGGTTCAGCAGCAATGAATAAAAAGGGTAGAGTAAAGATAACTTTGTATTTCAATATGAGATAAATTGTTTTAGGAATATGCTGTTTTAATTATTAGCTATGCATGAAAGAAAAATTGATGTTGACATCTTTGCTGTAAAATCATTGTAATGGGGCCTTCCTTACAATTCATTTTTGTAAAATTCATTTTGTACATTTTGCAGCAGTTGAACAATCTCTGCTCTGTGAATAGTCAGGATTCCCAGAAATACCGAGACAGTTGGCCCAGTAACTGCACACACCACACACGTTAACCATACTGTTGCCAGATGCAGTTTAACCTAAATGCAGTAGCACTTGAGCATCTCTGTATCTAATCCTTCCGGACTCTGAGCTGCAGAGCCAGCATGGTTTCCTCCTACTCTGCCACCCATTTTATTATCCAGGCAGTGAGGCTGGAATTCCATAGCTAGACATTTAGCTATGACACAGTTCTTCAGTAATAATCATGGTGTTGAAATCTACAACTATCCCCTTACTAGTGAATGCCAGTGTTTCTAGGTAAGCAAGCATCTAAGATATCATTATGCTTTGGAGTTTATAATACATGTTATAGTTATAAAGTAGTATTTTTCCTCACCAAAATATTGGAGGTACATATTTATTTACTTACTTACTTATTTATTTATTTGGTACCGGGGATCGAACTCGGGTCCTTGCACTTGCGCGGCAGGTGACAAAACCACTGAGCTAAATCCCTGGCCCGAGGTACATCTTTAAAGGAGGACGGGAGGAAAAGCCCTAAATCCCACTTACCGTGGGTCCTGAGTATGTTCTACTGGGATTTCTTATTTAGTCTAGGAAAACTCTTGTCAATGGAATGTTTTCACAGTGCAGCAATCTCTCTAAAATAACCCTAAATACAATATGACAGATCCCATCTTGCATAATCTTTTGCTAGTTGCTTTTAACTTTTATTTTTCATAGAGCTAAGTTCATCCCAAACTGGTCACTTACTGTTATGATAAATACAATGACATTTCTTTTTCTTCCTGTCCTCTTAATTATATCAGAAATTTCTCTGAGACTGTAATTGGTAATTGAACGTGGCCACAGAAGACGCTGTTGTACGTGGAATATTAGTTTTGCATTTTTTCCCTCTCCCACCCCCAAAGAAAATTTTTTAAAATACCATCTTTCCACCATCAGCAAACACCCAAATAATTTCTGTTGATTTCCTTAGGACTTTTTAAAATAGTAACTATTAGAAATAAAATCTTACTCTTATAATAAATAACTACTCTGGAAGCATATAATGGTGCCCATAAATGCTTAAAAGCTTTCTATAATTGCTGTTAATTTTGAATAATCTCTTCCTATATGTATCAACTTACCTGAAAAACCCAGAGTTGGGATTTCTAGATTTTTTTTAACTTAGTCATGTAAAGGGATGTCTCCTGATGCCATT